GTCCACTGCACGCTGCGACCATTTGTTTCACGGCTTGCTCTCGGCAGCATGTACGGTGAGGCTTTGTATGCGCCCGTTGCGGAGGAGGGGGGTGCCGTGACCTTGTGGAGGTTGCTCTTGAGAAAGGGGTCGACTGTTTTTTTGTTTTTTGGACAAGGATGTTGATGTTCGAGAGAGTCGTTTTTATTCTGTGCGCTGCAGAGTAACTGAAGAACTAGATGTGCATAAAAAACACATTGAACGATTGGGAAAGAGAAAGGAGAATCGAGATGACGAGGAGATCACAAACGCTGCCTTGGTCAGCGTCCTTTTACGATGTGGAGACGTAAGTGTACCTTATTGGATCATAAGAGAAGGAATGTAGTTTAACTCGGCGAAAAATTCACATTAAGATATAGACTGCTTCCACAAAAGTCAATTTATAATTAAAGACGTTTACAAATCTCTGTAATGCACAATTAGAGCGCAGCGCTTGAGGAGGAGGAGGTCAAGGTACAAAAGGGAGGGTATGCCCCTCCTCCTCCGTACCCTACCCTCCTCTTTGCTGCGTACACTGCCATCCTCCTCCCCCTAGCCTCCAATCCCTCCTCCCACAGTTTCCCCACTAAATTTAGCTGCAAACTCGACGCCACGTGACTTCAACACTAATTCAGTTTCCCTGCTAAATTTAGCAGGGAAAATGTCGTCACACGACTTCGTGTCACGTCACCCATGAACAAATTTAGTTTCTCCGCAAGACTTAGCGGAAAAATTTACGTCACGTGACCTAAACACCAATTCAATTTCCCGCTAAATTTAGCAGGGAAACTGAATTGGTGTTCAGGTTCATGGAAAGCCCATCAAGTTGCGTTTCAACAAACTACTCGTTGACAACAAATGTTACATCTACGCGCCTGGCACAGACTCCGTTCGCGAACTAAACCCACCTGAGCGGAACTTGGAGCCATACAGGATTCCTTCCGGACTACATGGCCCCATCATGGTACTCGAAAACACCGGCAGTTCTAACCCAGTACCTGCTCCGTCATAGCGTTCGGATGGCATTAGTGAGTCACCCCTTGTAAATATTTCTGTTATTTTTACTAACATGAGAAGCGTTATGCATAACCGCGATGACTTGTCGTCAATTGTGGACTCATCAGACGCGGATGTTGCTGCTCTCACCGAGACCTGGTTGTCAAGAAAAATACGCAACGGCGAAATTTTAAGCTGTCATAAACGTTTCAATTTATACCGTCATGACAGAGAAGAAGAAAATGGCGGTGGCGTACTAGTCGCGGTGGCGGAAAACGTATCATTTCAAATCAGTATTGTTTCTGAACTGGAGCTTCTATGGGGTTGGCTTCACTTAAAAAAAATAATATATATATATATATATATATATATATATATATATATATATATACACATATATATATATATATATATATATATATATATATATACACATATATATATATATATATATATTAGGCGTGTGCTATTGCCCTCTCTCTAAAAGTGAAATTTTTTTTAGAAGCCTACACGACGCGATTAACGCAGGCATGGTACGTTTGCCCAATACGCCAATAATGCTGCTGAGTGATTTTAACTACTCCACTATATAGTTTGGTCAGATATAGGTGCTAGCCTCAGTTTCTTTTCTTCAGAGAGTAGTGAGTTTTTGAACTTGTGTTTGGGTTTTAGCTTCTCGCAAATTGTTACGCAACCGACGCGTATTACAACTACAACTGCTTCTGTTTTAGACCTTATATTAACAACATCGCCCGAGCTTATCACTTCGTTGACTTACATGCCTGGCAATAGGGATCATTCCTTATTGCATTTAATATTAAGCATTTCCAGTTCCCGCAAATCAAAACAAATGAAGCAAATACACAATTATGCTAGAGCGAACTTTGATGTGATTAACAATGAAATGAGTCTCTTTTTAGATCGGTATATGCACTGTTTTGCCGAGCGCTCAGTCGCAGACAACTGGTGTTTATTCAAAGATAAGGTGGAATCACTGATGAAGGCACACGTACCTCTTCGAAACATAAAGTCGTCATCTGAATCGCCATGGTATACCGTGACTCTGCCAAGGCTTTCAAATAAAAAAGAAGCGGTTGTTTCGTGCTGCTAAGCTGAAGGATGACAAACAGCGTTGGGCAGCGCACCATCTAGCTGCCGGCGTGTACAAAAATGCTGTTGAAGAGGTAAAAAGCTCATTTTTTTAAATATTCTGTTACCATCTATGTTATTAAACAACCTCCGTCAATTCTGGAAAGTCGTAAACCCCCCTGAAAGCTCCGATGTCGCGCTAAGAATGGCTGGCGGAGAAGATGTACGATATGAACTGTGTTCTTTTGTTTTAAGTGATGTTTTCGTCAAAGCGTTTTCGTGCCCTGTTACCTCCAACTGTCCCGCAGCTCCAGTTTGTAACTTTTTGCCAATGTATTCCATTATAAAATCTGAAGAGATTGCTAACATAATTGAATATCTTAAAACCTCTTCGGCAGCCGGCATCGACAATGTAACTGCTAAGTTTCTAAAGAACACTAAAACGTATTCAAGCATTATTCTATCTTATCTTTTCTGCCAGTCTCTCGAACAAGGAATATTACACAGTGACGGGAAAGTGGGGAAGGTTATTCCAATCCACGAAGGCGGTGATAAACATAATCCTATTAAGTTACGCCCGATCTCTCTAACGAGCATCAGCTGCAAAATTCTTGAGAACGTAATATATTCACATCTTGCTAACTTTCTTGACTCCGATTCTTTTTTCAACACAGCTCAACAAGGTTTTCAAAAGTTTTATTCCTGTGATACCCAACTACTAGAATTAACTCATCATCTTCACCTCACTCTAGACCGGGGTTCTACGACTGACTGCATATTCCTGGATTTCTCAAAAGCTTTTGACAAGGTTTCTCACCAGCTACTTCTTCATAAACTTAGTAACCTTAACATAGATCCAGATGTCCTCACCTGGATATAATAATTCCTAACGAATCGCTTCCAATTTGCTCGTACTAATGGCACAAATGAATTCTTCGCCCTCACTTGTCAACTCCGCGGTGTCCCTTGGGGCTCTATACTCCGACCACTCTTATTTCTTATTTATATCAATGACCCTCCTGTGCATGTTCCTTCCTCTATTAGTCTATTCGCTGGCGACTGTGTAATTTATAAAGAGATAGTTAACGACTCTGACATTTCCGCCCTTCAGGTTGATATTAACAACATCTACAAATGGTACAAGGAATCGCTCACGGAGCTTAACGTCTCTAAATGTACATCTATGAGACTATCTCGTCATAACAACACTTGTCCTTCCTACTCTATAAACAATTCTACTCTAGTTTCGGTGTCCTCCTATAAATATCTCGGCATTCACATAACCAACGACCTCTCCTGGAATATCCACGTCCAATATGTTACTGACAATGCAAATCGACTTTTGGGCTATCTAAAACGTAACTTTTCGCTTGCTCCCCTTTCGTTAAAACTTCCTTCTCTGTAAAACCCTAGTACGTCCTAAACTTGAATATGCAGCTTCTATTTGGAACCCCGGTATCACCCTTGTATCAGCCGTCGAATCTATTCAGAATAGTTCTGCCCGTTTCATACTTTCGAACTATCATCGCACAGCCAGTGTAACTTCCATGAAATCGTCCCTCTTTTTGCCTAATCTCTCTTTCCGAAAAAAAAAAAAAAATCTCGTCTATGTTTATTTTACAAAATTTATCACTGTAACCCCGCTCCCGTCAAGCGTTGTTTTTAGAACCATCGTACATGTCGTCACGTGTAGACCATGTCCTAAAGGTAGGGATTCCCCTTTGGAGCACCTCCACTTTTAATGCCTCTTTTCTACCCCATACCTCCATTGGTTGAAATCGCCTTCCCGCAGATATAGTCTCAATAACCAACACTGCTGATTTTAAAAATGTTGTTACCGACTTTTTAACAGATGTGTCGTAGCGCGCGTTTTTTTTCCCACTTAATTATGTTATTTTTATGTGTTTTGAGCAATCGCCCACTCCCCCCCCCCCCCCCTGTAATGCCCTCGGACCCTGAGGGATTAATAAATGAAGTGAAATGAAATGAAATGTGATGTCTGTTTTACCGCTAAATTTAGCGAGGTTACGTCGACGGCGACATCGCTATATTCAAAAACGGGTGCCTAAGAGCTGCGCTCTAATATTTAGGCACATATGAAGCGTATATGAAGGTCAAAAGTAAAACAAGTGTGAATCTATGTCACAGATTTGTGTCTCTTCAAAGCAAGAGTGACTGAGTGGCATCACGGTGCAGACGTTTTCCCGATCAATTTCGGAACGATGGAACCTGCCAGCTCTAAAGCGACTCATTTGAGGAACTTCTCCTGCCTCCGGCGAGACTTCAGGCTTAAACAATAGGGTTAGAGACCAAAGATTGGTTTGCGTGTGACACGTTCGATGATGAAGGTCCACACGCCCGAAATGGATATAGGGGATGTCCGCTGGCGGCCATAGCCGAGGGCGTAGATGCTTACCGCGTGCTAACGGCGTGCTTCCACAGAGAATTTGGAACGTGCATTCCGCGCACCACCAAGACTGCCGGCCTTGGAAGCGTATAAGTGTGAGCTGGTTCTGAGCATGACGTGCGAGGGGGCCGCAGAGCATCGTAACGACGCCATAAACTCACTCCCTGAAGAGGCAAGACCAGCTACGTACGAGGACTGGACCCGCCCCAGGTTTGAGCACCCGCACCGCAAACACATTCTCGATTCCCTGATTAGTTTCGTCCGCTCATCGGGGATCGCCTGTTACATTTAGCCTCCTCCCCCTTCCGTTCCCATAATCACCTTCCCCCGTCACGATTGGATGACTTTATCAAGAAATCGTGAGGTATCCCATTCCTTAAATAAATACGTTTTCTCACTCACTCATGACCACGGAACAGAGCACTCGAACATGGCGTCCAGTCAAGTCCCTCTAAGTGTGCGGTTCCTTGGCGCGCACTCCGGCATGCAGGTCCCTGATGCGGACGTCCGTGCTAGCCAGCGAGGCGGCCCCGTCGGGAGACCTGTTGCGGAGCAGCTGGAACCGCTCGTGCGAGTCCCTGCGGGTGCTGACGAGGCAGCAGCGGCGCATGTGCAAGCGCAACGCACCCTTCATGGACAGTGTGCGCCGGGGCGCCCAGCTGGCCGTGCTCGAGTGCCAGCACCAGTTCAGGGCGCGCCGCTGGAACTGCTCCACCATCAACGGCACCAGGATCTTCAGCAAGGCCGTCAGCGACGGTGAGCAATCATTGTCGTTGCGAACTAAAAACAAACATCACCACTTTTCGAGATTTCTTTCAAAGCCGCCCTCACTACCTAGGTCAAAAATCTTTAAAAAAAATTAAAAAAAACTGCTCGAGTCTGGCACTTGTTCGTTTCTTTCATAATGAAGTGGGTTTATAACTGCGATGCTCACTCTGCTGCTGCAGGTACAGTAGGCCTTTACGTCTGGAGGGCGACACAGTTAACAATGAATTACCCAGGTGAAAATATATGAAATTGGGAATGCCTATGGTCACCGGCGGAATGAGAACGCCAGGGCGCGTCTTTCGAGCACCCGTCCTCCAGTGTCGATATGGTGTCAAGACAAAATTAGGTCCCTTATTCAGAATCGAATAAGACCTCCGCGAAATACAAACTCCGTTACGTATGAAGTTATGTCCAACAGCAGGGACCACTGACATTTTTCTTTTTTTTTTTTCTTTCGGGTATTTTTTTTTTTCCTTGAGACTTCACTCCTTTTGATGGCCTACAGCGACTAGAATTTTGCCTGCCGCAAACACTTCCAAGTATGATATTCAAACGAAGAACAGAAGCTTCCCCAATCATACTTCGCGCTAGTTACTTCGAATATCTCGTGAAGCTCCCGGAGTTGTTGACTTGTCAAATTACGGTAGGCCTCGAGGATCTGTTTCCGGTGCCTCCATGGGATGTTGCGCAGAGCCACTGATATAGTCGAAAAACTTAGAGTCGACATTTTTTTCCTCAGACAAAGCTCAAAGTAGCTTACATTTGACTGCAGTTCTCCAGGTGGACGGGCAACCTTGCATAGCGTTAAAAACTCCTAGGACACGCGCACGTTTTGCTTAGATAATCCGCACCCGGTGCTTAGTCTGCATCCAGTGCATAGTCCGGACCTGATGCGTAGTCGACACGAAAATCTTCTGATACGCGGCACACCTTGACATATGTCTGCCTCTCTTAGCTCACAAAGAAGCCTGTAATGCACATAAATCGTAATTAACATACTCGTTTATTCACAAAATCCGTCTCGTCTCGTCATAATCAACGATATTGAAAAACAAAATAGATACTCCGCGCAGCCTATAATTTCAACTTGTAAACATTTATAGTCCGCGGACTATAGTCCGGAAAATACGGTACATTTCTTTTTTCTAGTGGTTCCATATTACGGGGACCAGCTCGGAAAGGTGTAACTGGCACGTTATTTCTCGCTTATTCCAACAATATAAATGTTCTCTCCCCGAAAATTTGAGATTGCAGCATCTTGAAATTTTCGCATATATTGTATGTAAATATAAGGAGAAAAAAAGGCTTATTTAAGATAAGCCCACACTGTAAAATAAGTTATTTTATAGTGTGGGCAGACTATCTGACATGCGAATAGACGAGGAAGGTACGACTGTAGCTATTCAAAATACGATTTCACATCCCATATATTTTACCTTCCTGCACTTCATCACCTGCCGAAAAAAATAATAATAAAAAAATAAACGAATTATTATTGTTAAAAAAAGAAATTGTTTATGCGCGCCTATATTGTTGCTTAATCGTTGAAATCTCAAATGGGCCGCAGTATGGCCATCCCAGCTGCATGCAGAGGGGCACCGTACGGCGCGACTGGAGACCCGCGTCCATTCACTTGGCATGCATTCCACGATTTGCAGCGGGTCACCCTCAAGAATATAGTGTGTGTGTTTTTTTCTTCCCCGCAAAGATAAAGAGAGTACGCACCACCGAGCGCTGTCTCTGCCAAAATGTAGCAGCTGTCCGGACCGGGTGCTATAGTTTTGGAACTAACTCACTGTTATATTTTTTTGCAAAAGTTATACATTTTAATGAAACTGAAAATGGGGCCCATTCTCGGAAGTTCGCAACATTGAGCCCCATGCGTTGGTAGGCTTTGTCGGCCACCCTTTTCTCTCATCGAAAAGTTCTGGAAAATCGTTAATAACTTTTGAATACCATAACACTTCGTTCCGAAATCTTCGGCATCTGCTTAGGACCTCTAGCGCTACAAGGAAGTTGCACACCCCAGAGAGTGTACGCGGACTGTCTTTCGGGGGATGTTTTAGCAGTGTTAGCGTGGCTTCAGCGATCTCCTGCTCGCAGGTACCCGTGAGGCGGCATTCGTGCACGCCCTGAGTGCGGCGGCCCTGGCGCACGAGGTGACGCGGGCCTGCAGCCAGGGGCGTTTGGAGGACCGCTGCGGCTGCGACTTGTCGGTGCAGGGCGATTCGGCCGAGGGTTTCAAGTGGTCCGGCTGCTCAGACAACGTGGCCTACGGCGTCGCCTTCTCCAAGAGTTTCGTAGACGCCAGGGACCTGAGGGCGGCCCGCTCCACGGCCAATCCCAGGGCCCTGGTCAACCTGCACAACAACAACGTGGGACGAAAGGTGCGCTGGTCTCGGTGAACAGTATACCTGCAAAAGTATCAAAACCGATTCAATGGGTGCCTTGAAAGTTTAACGTATTTCTTTTTTTAACTTCTAATCTATCTTTCTTGCTATCTGCAAGGGCATCACTCACTCTCCAGGCTTTCCTTTAAGAGAATTTGTCCCGGTAGGCAAGTAGCCAGGGGGTGGGGGGGGGGGGGGGGGGTGCATGGGGCCCTGCCCCCCCCCCCCCCTCGAAATCTTCCATTTTGCTGGTGCCTCCTCTCCCCCCTCCCCCTCATACAACATTTTGTTATGGGCGGGCACCCCCCCCCCCCCCCGAGTCAAAATCCTGGCTACGTGCCTGCCGTGCTGTCTTCGAATAGTGGTGTATTTTAGCGCCTTCCGTTTTGTGTAAGTACATAACCGACATGACCTTCACGCGACGTCATCGCTTCGTATCAGTGTTCACTCTATACTTACTATCACCAAGCAAAATAAAATTCCGTGGTGTAAGTATATGCCGCAGAAAGTGTACGGGCGTAGCAGCAAAATCCTTCACAATGACCGCTGCTGTGATGTCAGCGAAACAAGCCACGCATAGATATCACACGCACGCCTTTTAACGGGCTGTATACTTGTTCTGTTCAGGTCGTCCGCTCGCAGATGACCCGCCAGTGCAAGTGTCACGGCGTGTCCGGCTCTTGCGAGCTGCGCACCTGCTGGCGGGAGCTGCGTCCCTTCCGCTCCGTGGGCGCCGTGCTCCGGGACAAGTTCGACGGCGCCACCGAGGTCCAGGTGAAGCGGCGGAGCACACCCGGCACGCGGTCCTCGTCCGTGCCCCGGCCCCTCATCGTGCCGGTGAACCCACTGGTGCGCCAGGACGGCACCGACCTCCAGTACCTGCGCTCGTCGCCCAACTTCTGCAAGGTGAACCCCGCCCTGGGCTTCCTGGGCACGCGGGGCCGCCGCTGCCTGCCGGAGCCGGGCTCCACGCCGGAGTCCAGCTGCCAGGTGCTGTGCTGCGGCAGGGGCTTTGTGACGCGGACAGAGCGCATCGCCGAGCGCTGTGACTGCAAGTTCTACTGGTGCTGCGAGGTTCGGTGCGCCACTTGTGTGCGGGAGATCAGCGTCAGCACGTGTCGTTGAGGACTTTTTTTTTTCTTTTGCCGGTGTACATGTTTGTGGTCAGACTTCGAAAATGACGTAGGTGGATTGTAAATCACTGTGGTCTGTTTGAAGAACAATGCCCGCTGGGTTTCGACGGCTGCGATTGGGACGCTCACGAGCGCGAGTGATGTGTCTGTGACCACAGTGAATGTACTGCGGAGACTGGACGCTTCAACATATATGCAGTTTCATATGTAGATTTTTGTCGAAGCTCTGAAAAGGGGAGGGACACTTCTACGAGCGTGTTACCCGTATGAGACGAAATGAAATTACCTGTGAGTGAAGAAAACACGTATATTTGTCAGTGAGGTATAGTGAGGATTGTTGAAGCACCCACTAGCGTACTTCAGCGTATAGAAAACCCTACACTGTGGCGCGAAAAAAAAAAAAAGTGTTTTTTATAGTACAGAAAACTTTAGGGTGAAGAAGCCCTACTTCAAAGGACCAGCGCAACTTTGCATCGCTGCTGAAGTTCACGTTTGCTTCAGAGTGGGCCATCTGAAGCTCACACAATCAAGATTGACCCCGACGCGCTGGAAATGAACTATCGCACTATTTATCCTTCACATTCATTGTGTTGAGAGATTGGGGAAAAACGTCCATTTTCATTGTCAAGATCGTATCCACTTTGAGTCACTCGATTCTCGATGTTCATCCTATGCCCTTCTATTTATTCGTGTGTTTTAGAATGCCCCGTGGTCCAACGATGTCCCAAAAATCACCGAGAGTGACGAAAAAAAGATTAAACAGAGTCGGAGGTGTTAGTTATGAAATAACTGCCTGTTTAGCGCGACGACTGTGAATTCGTTTTGAGTTGTACGCTGTGACCTTTTCTGTTTTCACTGTCTCGAGTGTAAAGCTTCTAGTGTACACTTACGCTATGAAACGCCAGTGCGTCCACTTCCCGTCGAGCACTCGGAGAACATATAGCGTGACGCTTCGCATACTCCTGTCATGCTCAAGTCTCACATTACAATTTTTTTTATCTTCAAGTCGAAACTTTTTTTTTTTTTTTTTTTACTTTTTTCATTTATTGAGCGAATCCGTGGAGAGCAGCGATTGGGCCTCCGAGGTCTCTGCCGGAAAGTCGGATGTGCGGAAATATTTTTAGACTTAGGACTCGTCGCCGCAAGTTTCTAGCAGTTATTAGGTGCAGACACGTAGTGTTAGCTCGACTGTATCGCTGTTTAGAGGACGCGTAGTTCAATAGAAAAATTAGTTTTGAAATCTTGTTCTTGGAGTTCATCGTTCAACGTATACAAGGTCTCGTCATTATGTTCGAAACAGTGCGATGAATTTTGTTCAAACGCGTATCACGGCGGTAGGCTCCGGTGGATGGATCGCGGCGGGCGCTACACGAACCATCCCAGCCAGTCCAGCTCTGTAAATCTGTCAAGCGGTTTGACACTTGCCCGACACTGGACTGGCTTCGATGGCATATGGTATACGTCCTCGGCGATCTAGCGCAAGAGGAAAGTGAGTATAGCACGAGGAACAATGATCACTTGACAAACTCACAAAGGGATTTCATGGAACTTTCTCCCGAGCTGCAATTTTGAAGACGTCGTAGTGTCGCGTCAGCATTTATTGGTGGAACAAACGTGAGGTATTTTGATGCATTTTTAACGATACTTTTCTATCATGTGGCGTTCTCTTGATTTTTAAGAGTTTGCGCGCATATATTTCCTGGCAATAAAATGCAAAGAAAATTCTATTTCCCCGTTGCAGGCTGTCTACTGTACTACGTTATATATTTCATAGATGAAATGGGTGCTCCCATGAGCGCGTGACTTAATCGATTTCAGTTGCGTCAGTCGTCATGCTGGGTATGGACATGGCAACCAGCAGCTCACAATAGACCTTTCCGGAAATATATGGTGCTCCCAGCGTCTGCTTCATGCATTGCGACGTTCCGATGTACGGTACGTGAAATTATCCAGGAAGTGAAGACGAAGTTGACGTTGATTTAACAGTTCGTAATTTCAGAACCCAGAGAAGGCAGAAGAAGGAAAGCAAAGCAGATCATGTGATAGCTTTCTTTTTCATTCGCTTAATTTTTTTTTGTGTGTTCTGAGTTCCTAACAATAAGAAAAAATGAATCCATGCCACTACCAGGATGTACGAAGCCGCCCCACAATTAGTGCCACTAAATAAGCTACGCTTCAGAGTAACGACATTTGGCCATATTGTTTTAAAATCATGGTTGCCAGTTATCTAAAGCTTTGTCTGAAATTACACGAAACGCCTTTCCGTTCTCCACAAATGTTTAAACAGTTCGCGACAGAGCAAAGCAGCATTACATGACCTTCCTAACACCGAGTGTAATGCTGAAAAAGTCGCACTTTTGAATCATGATGATCGGTAGTTGCGTCTGCCCTGCATACGCACCAATTCCGATCCGCCCCTTCTCAACTAAAACGGCTCCTCTATCTTGCCCTAGTCCGGTCTAAATTAGAATACGTACCTTCAATCTGGCGCCCTCATCATGCTACTTTAACAGACTACATTGAATCTGTTCAAAACCGTGCTGCGCGTTTTATTCAGTCCGATTACTCCAGTTTTCCAGTGCCTCCCTCATTAAATCAAATCTCTCTCTCCCATTGCTTTGCACCCGTCCAAAAATATTCCGTCTCTGCCTTCTGCATAAAGTTTTTTATTCGCCACTTCTAAATCAGTCTCTTATTTCCCCACCGGCTTATCTTTCCTCCCGACTCGATCATTGCAATAAAATATCCCGGCCAAAATGTTTTTCCTCAGCACATCAGCACGTTCCTCTTCCTGACGCAATTGTGGACTGGAATGACCTTCCCGAAGACATCGTCACCATCCGGGACCCCATCAGATTCCGAGAAGCAGTATCAAACATTGTACTGAACACCCACTCCCCTCTCTAACGCCTTATGGCTCTGAGGGTATTGTAGATAAATAAATAAATAAAATGGCGGTGCCAACAACAATGTCGGGGAACGGATTGCCGATTCTCTGAGCGCAGCTCATACAGTAGCTCTAATGCTTGTATTCAAACGTGACACGAGCAAACTCGAACGTTACACCGCCACGCGGATGGTGCATCCAGCATAGCATGGTCGCGTCTTGCGTAAGTCTTCCAGACGCCCCCTGCCCCAGAGCAGCGAGTCTAATGGCTCGGCGGTATAACAAGGCATGTGGCAACATACCGCTGGATATTGCAAGAGGGATCGGTGGCCGAGTGGGCTAGCGCACACCAGCTCGGAGCAAGTGGAGCGAAAGCTCGCGCTGCAGAACCCAGGATCCTGGGCTCAATCCCCACCCCCGCCCGTTTCGGTCTGGATGAGCATCGTAACGGCGTGCGGTCGTGTATCTCTACTGCGTGATGCACGTTAAAGACCCCAGGTTAGCGGTTGTACTGCCCTGACTAAGTTTCTCATCTACAGCGAGTGACTCGTCGCATGCTTGAAATGGTTGACCAACTACGCGCTGTCTGAATATCCCCACAACCCGAATGATTATTTTTTGGATATTGCACTCATCTTGCGGAGAGCAGCCAATGCCACAAGCACGAGAACACGCTGCTTTGAAACGTTCTCCCACAGACCGAGCCCTCGCTCTAGAAATTCACTTCTCAAAGCCAGTAGCGCGGGCTAGCTCGCTTTGGCTGCAGTCTGAGCTTTAAAGGGATGTTGAACCGAACATTTCAGTGTCTATAATAAGCGGCGCACTATCTTTTCATGAGTCAGCAGCCGCTGGTATGCGCGAGCACACGCAACGAAATTGACGTCATCATATATCCCCCATTCGAGCTTATTAAGCGTGAATTGGGGATATGATGGCGTCAATTTCGTTGCGCGTGCTCTCGCACCTTAGGGGCTGCTGACTCATGAAAAGATAGTGCGCCGCTTATTATAGACACTGAAATGTTCGGTTCACCATCCTTTTAAAGGGATGCTGAACCGAAATCGGGATTCCACAAAACACGGCGGCAAAAGCGTGCAGCGGGATGCTACAAACACGAAAATATTACTTATACAGCGATATCTCGAACCGATGACCATATTTTTGAAAAAAATGGGGCGCATTTGACAGATATGTTTATGCTTGTTTCTCCGAGAAGGAGAGGGAACGGCCTCGCGTCTTCTCCGCCTCGCCGCCTTGAGGGGGCGAAGCGAAGAGAGGAGGAAACGAGATATCTTGACGTCACGCGCCTCGTCGACCTCGTTCAATCTCTACCTCTTTTTCCAAAAATACGGCCGTTCATTCGAGATATCGCCTTACGAGTAGTGTTGTAGGGATTGTAGCGCTCCCTCTAATCTCCTGCATTGTTTTTGAAATCCAAATCCGCCATGCCCATTACAAACACCATCGAACTTGAAGTGAAAAGACCGTGAGTGTGCAGGCGAGCTGGTGATTGCTAATCATGTCATATAACACCTCAGACTGTGGTGGAAGAAATTGGAAACTTCTTAGTAGAAGGAACAGACACAGAAAGGGATGTCCATTTCTGTGTCTGTTCCTTCTACTAAAAAGTTTCCAATTTCTTCCACCACAGTCTCAGGTGTTATGTGACATGATTAACCATCGAACTTGTTCGCAAAGTAATGACGTCACGAGAGGGAACCATACGAGGGCGCCACCAAAACATCTCGCCGCTAATAGCTTACGGGTGCCGTAGCGTTTTTAGAAGCAACGCGCGATGTGCAACGCATGCACGTATTCCGACTGAAAAATAGAAAGTTGTACGTTTCGATACCTCCGATAACGATGGATGCATGCTCAAAGGAGTCGGCGTAGTATCGCGTATCGTTATCGGAGGTATCGGAACCATTTACCGAAACTCTCTATTGTTTAGAAAAAGCGCGTTGCGAATTAAAAAAAAATGCTCGAGAACCCTATTACAATAAAGTTGAAAAGGAAAGAAATGAATATATAATTTCGTAAACCATTTGTGGTAAAGACGATAGACAGTTGCCAGCATAATACCTCGAAAGTGTAAAAAAAAAAAAGAAGAAAAATCGTACTGGAAGATTTTTTTTTTTTTTCAGTTTAAAGTGCTATTTTGGTGCGTCGGAAATTAAGCGAAAATCAAAACTGGAACATTATGATGAGTCCTAATTCTTCAAATACCCGAGTATGAGAAACATTTTTAATATTCATCCTACAGCAGATGGTCCATTGTTTCGTGCCCTACATCGCGAGTCGAGTGGGTATCATATCCCCGATATCATATCCGCGGGAACACCGCCCCCTGCGATATGCATGGATGGAATAGGCCATGTTTGTTTTCGCCCGCGTGTCCCGAGCCACTTGACATTTGCATATCACGTATGCCTACCTTCGGCCCCTGGTGAAATGAAGAGACAGATAACGTTTATGACACGCAGCAATGTCTACTCGTCTTTGTCTTTGCGATTCCATTTCCACTCGTAAATGGATACAAAAAAAAAAAAAAAATTAATGGCAGCTTCCGACGAGATTAGAGCCATATGCTCCGCTTGAGGAGCCTATTCGCTCTTTCTCGCCTGTTTCTCGTGCGAGTTGAAACCTGGTAGTTCCAGTGTGCAAATAACCCCCCACCACTGTCGGTTCTCAACTAGACGGCGGGTTTCGCAGTATTTGCGAAACCAAATATACGCGCTAGTCACCCTCTCTATATACCGCGTGCGCAGGCCTCATAGCCACCGGCACACTCTCCTTCCGGTTCAGGGATATTTCCTAATTGTTTGCTCATCATTCCTTTATAATAAGGGCGAATGAAGTCTGTGACCATTTCCAATAGTACTAGTTTAAAAAAGAAAGTTTAATAAACCACTTTTAAAGCGTATATACCCCTTGAAACGGTTTATTAAATTTTTTGTAACTATACTACTTCTGGAAATGGTCACTTATAGCACTGTCGGACTTAATTCGCTCTTATTATAAAGGAATGATGAGCAAACAATTAGGAAATATACGTGAAGCGGAAGAGTGCCGAGGCTACCCAATAGCTGGCGCCACTGAGTTTGTTGCCGGACAAAAAAGGGCGAATACAATTACTCTAGACCACTGATCTTTAGGACAATTGCTGGATCGTGCTTCCCCGCTTCGAGCCCATTGGGCGATTGAAGCCACCGGTCGGCCATCTTACCGGTTCCGCGGAAGCGTTGTCAAGGCGGCGGTTGTCTCTGTTGTCACGTGACCTACACACGGTAACCATGGTAACTGTCTAGGCTTGACAGAGCCAGAGCATATCTCGTAAGATGGCCGACGGTGGCTTAATTTTCGGTGCGTGGAAGCGCGATCCAGCAATTGTCATAGAGATCAGTGCTCTAGACGAAGTAGCACTCTGGCGCCTTCTATCGAACAGCCCTGCAACTGTTCCGATCTGCGCATAGTTCCTAATGTTGTTTACGCATCATCCTTTCCCTGTGGGCTTGAAATGGTTCTATTAATAACGTAAGCGAGAATTTATCATCAACAGTGCGTAGATTTAATCTGACAAATACTGCAGATCCCGGAGTACCATATAGATGGCGCCAGTGAGTTTTCGGTGCTCTTCCATCGTAAACCGTCGCAAGCGGTCCTAGCGCAGTCAATCAGTCAAACGCAAAGTTTGAATAATCGCAGCGGATACTACGGGCCATCGGAGCCAATCCAGCACCGAGAGCACGTCACGTGACCTTCCCGTCAGGAGTAAGCGACGCGCAGAGCGGGAAGCCACGTGGTACGCTCACCTGCCGACTTGTGGCAAT